GCGGGCTCCGGCCGCGCGTGTCCCCCCGGGGCCGGGGCCGGGGCCGGGGCCGCCTCCGCCCTGACGCCCCGTGCTCCCGGGCGCAGCTTTCCCGGCCTTCATCCTCATCTCCAAGGACGACCGGTTCCTGTACGTGAGCAACTGGCTGCACGGGGACGTGCGCCAGTACGACATCTCCTGCCGGGCCAGGCCGCGCCTGGTGGGCCAGGTGAGCCCCCCGGCCCGCTCCCCCGCGCTGCGCGGCGCGGCGCTGCCGGCGGCCGCGGCCACGTGTCGCGCTGTCCCCGCGCAGGTGTTCGTGGGAGGCAGCCTCCTCCGCGGCGGGCCCGTCACCGTGTGCAGGGACGAGGAGCTCAAGTGCCAGCCCGAGCCGCTGGTGCTCAAGGTGAGCGGGGCGCAGGGAGCCGCCATGGAGCCCCGCGCGCGCCGGGGCGGCCCTGCCCGCGCCGCTGCCGCCGGCGCCGCCGCCTCCGCCTCCTCCGCCCGGCGCCGCGAGCCTCACGGCCCCGCGCTGTCCCCAGTGCAAGCGCGTGCACGGCGGCCCCTACAAGCTGCAGCTCAGCCTGGACGGCAAGAGGCTCTACGTGACCAACTCCTTCTACAGCACGTGGGACAAGCAGTTCTACCCCGACGTGGTCAGGTGGGCACCCGCGGCACGAGGCGGCGCCCGCCCGCTCCCGGCGCGCTGCTCGCGCTCCTGGGGCGCGTCTCCCGTAGCCGAGCGGGGCCGCCGCAGCCAGGAGCCGGCCGTGCGGGAGCGGCCGCTGCACAGAGGCCTCTGGCCGCACACGGAGGCCGCAGGGACGGGCAGGGCCGTCCCCGCGGGAGCTGCCGTGGCGCGGCCCCGACCCCGGCCCTCTCGCCCCTTCCTCGGCAGGGAGGGCTCCGTCATGCTGCAGATCGACGTGGACACCGAGGCCGGCGGCCTGTGCGTGAACAAGAACTTCCTGGTGGACTTCGGCAAGGAGCCCTGCGGCCCTGCCCTCGCCCACGACATCCACTTCCCCGGCGGGGACTGCACCACCACCGAGGACTCGGCCTAGGCGCCCGCCGCCCTCCCGCTCCCTGCTCCAGCGCCGCTGCGAGGGGCCCCGTTCCCTGCACTCCAGCTGCCGGCCCAGGAGCCCCCGGAGCTCTGCCCGGAGCCGCACGAGGCCTCGGCGCGCCCCGGCCAGAGCTCCCGGCTCCCGCCACCGCTCCGCGGCTTCTGTCTCCTCCTGCTTCCAGCGCTAATAAAGTCTCTCTTGGCATCAGCTCCGTGGCCCCGCGTCTTCTCGCCCTCGCCCTTCCCCGCTGCTCCCAGCGGGACGCGGAGCAGGGGCTGCGGGGAACCTGCTGTCCCCGGCCCTGCTSCCGGTGGCCTCGAGCTCCTGCACAGGGCCGCCTTGCAGCCGCAGCCCCGCTTCCTCGGGGGCTGCCCCAGCAGCACGCAGCCTTGCAGCCTTTGGCAGGCCGAGCCTTTCGCACCCTTGTCTGCACGGGAAACGTCTCCCTTTGAGCTCCCTGGCGCCCGCAGCCCGRGCGAGACGAGAGCCTCCGGTGGYGCCTTYGGGTGYGAGGGCYCCGGGGCTGCTGCTCCCCCTGCTCCCGCGGCAGCGACGTCCCGCGGAGCGCTCGGAGACTTCCCTCCTTGAGGAGCTTCCCGGCTCGTGTCCCTGCCCTCGCGGCGGCTCTGGAAGGAGCTTCCCCTGCTCTTCCTGCTCGGCTCCCTGGCGCTGCCGCCCTCTCTTCGGCGCCCGGGGGACATTCTGCACAACAGCACAGTCCTGACGAGAGCAGTTCGAGGAGCTGCTTCTCCCGGTCCTTGTATGGTTCACGTGGGACACGAGTGTCTCCCTCCGGCTCCTTTGCAGCTCTCAGCAGCTTCCTTAATCCATCGGCACCTCCACCAGTGGCCTCCACCCCTTCCCCACGGGAACAGCCCTGATAAAGCCCCTGATAAAGCCTGAATTCCCATGGCGTCTTTTCTACGGGAGTTACTGCAAGGTGCCTATGGGGTCCAGAGGCAGCTCCTGGTTAGCCCTACCTTGAGCTTTGCGTTTTTCCCCTTGCATCCACAGGAGGCAAGTCCTTCCCCGGGCTTCGCTCTGCCCTCCTCGCAGCCTCCCGAGGCAGCGCGGACCTCGCCGCCGCGCTTCCCCTCGCGATTAGCATCTGCAAGCGCAGCAGACGAGCGGCGCGGCGGGGACGGGAAGCGCCGGGAAAGTCGGCGCCGGGTTTCTAGGAAGGAGCCAGGAGGAGCAGCAGAACCTGCTTGTGGCCGGAGCGGCGACGCGGCCGCAGCCGCCGCCGCCGGGCGGGGAGGAGGCTCTGCCCGCGCTGCAGTAATTCCCCCCATCATTTCAGTGCTGCACGAAGCTACAAAGCCGCCCTGCTCCTTCCCACGCGATCCTCCCCTCRGGTCCTTTTTCCTCCCCATCCGGCTGCCTATATATTGGAGCCCTTGAGGAGCTGCCTCTTCTCCTCCAGCGTGGACACCATGCAGGCGGCATCGTCCCTTCCCAGCCCTCAGGAGCAGCTGGCACCCGAGCCAAGGTCCTGCGCAGGTAGGAGACCAGCACCCTGTTCCCATGGGGAACGAGCAGCGCCCGCRCGCCGTGCCGGGCTCCTGCTGGACCTGGACCATGTGCTTCAGTCCCTGGGTCACCTCAATAGCACAAGGGGAGACCAAAACGGGTCTGAATGTGGGGTTTTCAAAGGTCCCCGCAGGGCTGGAATGGGGCTCGAGGGCTTCGGGGAGCCCTGGGCAGGGTTAGGGGCTGGGGCGAGGCTGAGACCTTGGGCACTGAGTTCCTTGGGCGCAGTCGAGGCTCAGCTTATATGAAAAAGCTTTGCATTAATGGCCCCTTGCATTAATTGCCCTTTGAATTAATGGCCCTTTGCATTAATGGCCCTGGACGTGCGGCCCCAARGGCGATCTGCATCCGAGCTCCGGTCCTCGTCAGTCCCAGCGGGCTCCGGGAAGGACCCGTCTCCTCCAAGCCTCGCTTTTGGAGAGGACTGCACGCCTTGTGATGTGGGAGATGCCTTTGGGGCCCTTCCCTTCGGGGCGGGGGGCTCCTTTGCGCAGGCCGGGAGCGCATGCTGTTCCAGCACCGCTCTGGGGCTCGTGAGAGTATCTCCTCCAGCGCGGCACCCGGAGCTGCTGCCTGCTTTGCAAAACGGGCGTTAAAATCGCTGTGCGTTGCTCAGGGTTTGCTTGGTCTGGTTCTTCTCCATGCAGGGACATGCGGAGCGCACGGGCCGGGCTTCGCCTCCCCTCTGGACGCTATGAAAGGTAGGGCTGAGGCGCGGGGCAGGGCCCGGAGCTGTCTGCGCTTCGGGCCGAGATGAGAATAGATGAAAATAACACCCAAGGGGGTGTTATCAAGTGAAAACTGATAACGTGGGGCTCCCGGCCGCGCGAGGAAAGCAAGGGCTCTCCKTGCATCTCGCAGGGGTTGAGCACGGGTTGCACAAGGGCAGCTGGGGAGCAGAGGTGCCCGGGAGCTTTGGGACGGGCYGGGACTCGCAGCGGAGTCTCCCGCGGCTCCGCGGTGCAAAACCAACGCAGAGGTTTCCCACGGGGAGCCGCGCGGCCCAGCAGGCGCCGGCTCTCCCTCTGCCCGCCCCTTAATCCCCTCCGCGGGCTTTAGCGCTCGCCCTCGGGCCTTGCAAAGCTCGGCAGCTTCGGGGGAGCGTCGGTGAGGAGGCACCTCGAGGCACGAGGCCCGCGAGGCCCGATTAGGTGGCTGCTGCTCCCGGAGACCCGTCCGGCGTGTGCGCGGCGCTGGGCCGGCCCGGACGCCTCCTTTGTGCCGCTCGCCAAGGACACCCCTCAGTAGGTGCCACCGACACGTCCCCAGTGCCAGGCAGGTCCCACCAGGCTCCTTTTCCCCATCGCGCCTCTCGGAGCGGTTCCTCGCTCTGCTCAGATGGTCCCAAGTGTGACCACGTCCTTGCGGGCAGCGGCCGCCAAGCCAAGCCCCTTGTGCTCCCTCACAACCTGGTTGCACCCGCGAAGGTCTCGGCTTCATCCCGGGACATCCCGGCCCGGGGGTCCCATCCCCGCAATCCTGCCACGTCCGTGAGACGCCCGCCTGCTTCAGGCCAAACCTGCCGGGCCCGGGTGGCCACCTCAGCATTCCCGGACCAGTTCTCCTCCCTCGCGCCCGCGTCGCCGCTTGCTCATCCCACGCACAGCCGCAAGGAAGGGCACCTCCCGCGTGCCGAGGCACCCGCAGGAGATCAAACGCCCTCGTGGGAGAGGCAGGCAGCGCCCGGAGCAGAACGCTTTCTTCATCCAACACTCACCACCTCGCATACCAGCACCCGAACGCGATGAGCGCCCGCAGCGCCGCGATGAGCGCCCGCAGCGCCGCGATGAGCGCCCGCAGCGCCGCGATGAGCGCCCGCGCCTCTTGGGACACGCCGGGTTGCTGCAGGGCTCTCCTGCACCACGGGAGATCTGCTGCTTGCTGCAACCCTACTGCAGTTCTTGGGACTTTCTGCCTTTGATGTGCATGCTGGAAAACCTTYGCTTTAGCTTTTTCTTCTTCTTAAGCTTTCTTCTTAGCTTTTTAAAGCTTCTCCTGGAGCTGTGGAGGTGGGATGGGAGGAAGTGTCCTCTGCAGGTGCGGCCTGGCCGGTGGCTCCCGTGGTGCCGTCTTCCCTTCCGAGCGTGCTTTCTGGTGGTGCTCACACCAGGCTCCCGTGCGCACAGGTCCCCGGGAGGAGATCGTGTACGTGCCCTGCATCTACAGGAACACGGCGAGCAAGAAGCCGGACTTCCTGGCCACYGTGGATGTCAACCCTGAATCCCCGCACTACTGCCAGGTAGCGACCGCCTCGGGGACACCTCCGCGCTCGTCCCCGGYGGCGGCGGCGGGCAGGGGACAGCGCCGTGGCCTTCGCAGGTCGTCCACCGGCTGCCCATGCCCAACGTGGGCGACGAGCTGCACCACTCGGGCTGGAACGCCTGCAGCAGCTGCTTCGGCGACAGCACCAAGGCGCGCRACCGCCTCGTCCTGCCCGCCCTCATCTCCTCCCGCATCTACGTGGTGGACGTGGGCACCGACCCGCGAGCGCCCCGGCTGCACAAGGTACCCTGAAGGTGGCACCGGCCTGCACGGCTCCGCGGAGAGGTTTGCGGATGAGCTGGATGATGATGATGGCCAAAGGGCAGCACGTGGAGGCTGGGGACGTGGTTGCTGTCCTGCTGACGGGCGAGCAGTTGAGCTCTCCGGCCATGCCCAGTTTGCGGATGACCCTAAAGCTTGGCTGGATGATGATGATGATGGCCAAAGGGCAGCACCTGAAGGCTGGGGAGGTGGTTGCTGTCCTGCGGATGGGCGAGCGGTCGGGCTCTCCGGCGGCAGCCTGGCCGTGCCGCAGCGTGTGCGCTCCCCTGCAGGTCATCAACGCCGAGGACGTGTTCTGGAAGTGCAATCTGGGCTACCCGCACACGTCCCACTGCTTGGGCAGTGGGGAGATCATGATCAGCACCCTGGGGGACCCGTCGGGCCATGGAAAAGGTGCTCTGCCTCCCCTCATCTTCCTCCTATAATGCCCCGGAGAGCGCGCCGGCGCGGGAACGACGCCCAAGCCAGCGGCTCCTGGAGACCTCACCTGTCTCCATGCCCTTGCTCTCCATCTCGTGCTCGTACTGCTCGGRAATGAGCCAATCTGCTCATTTTACAGTATTTAAACCACTAACCTGGCCCGTCTCCTCCCTACCTTGCTTTTGCATCAGGTGGTTTCATCCTGCTGGACGCGGAGACGTTCGAGATCAAGGGCAACTGGGAGAGAGGAGACAAGACGCCCCCGATGGGTTACGACTTCTGGTACCAGCCGCGCCATAACGTGATGATCAGCACCGAATGGGGGGTCCCCCGGTGCCTGGGCTACGGCTTTGACCCCAACGATCTGAAGAAAGGTGAGAAACCATCGGCTTCAATAGCGCCGAGAGAGATGTTGAGCGGGATGTTGGGGTTTGGCCTCGGGAAGGCCCAGCTCCAGTCTGCTGCCTTAGGCTGAGGAGCTAAAGGGGGCAGATAAGGGTGTCCAATGTCACACCAGGTCCTAGAGAGCACCGAGCTCCAAAAAGAACTTACTTCAGCTGCAAATTCCAGCAGTTCGGCCCAAGAGGCTCCATAAACCATAAGCCAAGCTGGGTTTGGGGGTGCGTTTTGGGCGCAGCCCTGTGGGTTGGAGCCCCATCAAAGCCACGTGGCCCCGCTGGACCTTGRGCACCTCCGCGTGGCTTTTGCCGAGGCCCCAACGCCCGGGGTGCCGACCCGCGTGCCCCTCGCAGGGCGCTACGGCCGCCGCCTCAACGTGTGGGACTGGAGCAGCCACGAGTACGTGCAGGCCATCGACGTCGGGGAGGACGCGGCGCCGCTGGAGATCCGCTTCCTGCACGACCCCGCCGCGGCCCAGGGCTACGTGGGCTGCACCATCAGCAGCGCCATCCACCGCTTCTACAAGACCCAGGTGCGCCGGGCACGGAGGGGACAGGGGCTGCAGACGCCGGGAGGGGACAAGGCGGCGGCTCCGGGCGATGCGGGCACCTGGGGACACGAGCCAGGCGCTTCCATGGGCAGCTCCGTGCCCACCCTGAGCTCCGTTCCCTGCCTCCCGCAGCAAGGGGACTGGGCGGCGGAGAAGGTGATCCAGGTCCCCAGCAAGAAGGTGCAAGGGTGGCTTCTGCCYGAAATGCCAGGTGGGTGGGCGCCCGCGGTCCCCTGCGCGCCCGCCCGGTCCCCGCCGTGACGGTGCCCCGTGCCGCCGCAGGCTTCATCACCGACATCCTCCTCTCGCTGGACGACAAGTTCCTTTACTTCAGCAACTGGCTGCACGGCGACGTCCGCCAGTACGACATCTCGGACAGGCGCCGGCCGCGGCTCGTGGGGCAGGTGGGACAGCGCCCGGCGGCCGCCCGGAGCGCGCGGACACCCCCAAACCACCTCCCGGGCTCTTGGATCTGCTTCCAGGTCTTCGTGGGCGGCAGCATCAGCAGAGGTGGCCCCGTGACCGTGTGTGAGGACCAGGAGCTGCAGGAGCAGCCGGAGCCGTTCGTGATCCAGGTGAGCCCTGTTGTCCCTCCGGTGGCATCCTGGTCACCCCTGCCATCCACGCGGTCCCATCTCCGCTTGGATCCACATCACCCGGGCGGCCGGAGGGCTCCAGCTACCAAGGGGGGACACGCAGCTGGGCCAGGTCCCCGGGGAAGCGCGGGCGGGCAGTGACGTGCCAGCACCACGTCCTGTCCCCCGCGTCCTCCCAGGGCAAGAAGGTGCCAGGGGGACCCCAGATGCTGCAGCTCAGCTTGGACGGCAAGAGGCTCTACGTGACCACGTCCCTGTACAGCGCCTGGGACAAGCAGTTCTACCCCGAGCTCATCAGGTAGGGCCGGCCCGGGGCACCCCGGGGCCCCGCGCTCCCAATGCTCACCCCGACTCCGCGCGGGGACGGCGCCCCAGCCCTGCCATGCGCCGTTCCCGCGCAGGGAGGGCTCCGTCATGCTGCAGCTCGACGTGGACACGGAGCGGGGCGGCCTGCGCGTCAACGAGCGCTTCCTGGTGGATTTTGGGCAGGAGCCCGAGGGGCCCTGCCTGGCGCACGAGATGCGCTACCCCGGCGGCGACTGCACCTCCGACATCTGGCTCTGAAATCCCGGGAATTGCATGTGCCATGCAGCGCTTTGCGGGGGAAATAAAAGAGTTGCGTTGTCCCCTGCCCCTGGAGAAGGAAAATCCATGGGAGGATGAAGAAGAGCAGCGGGAAAAGGGCGGGAGGTGTCATAAATGAAGCGAGCCAATTTCTCATCTCCATTTTATTAAAGTGAGCTGGATACAAAGGGTGAGAGCGCTGGGGCGGCCTGGAGRTAATCATTCTCAGGCCCCAACCAAGTCCCCAAAGTCTTGGTATTTATATTGAGTMCCGGTCCCRCCTTTGGTGTTTTTTCCGAAGGTTCCATTCAGTCTGCGCTGTGTGTTGTTGATGTTGCTCAGTCGGAATGTGCTTGCGCCGGCTGTTTCTAGGTGGTCATTATCTGCCTTCTGATGGTCGTTTTGGAGGAAGGCAGATAAGCCTTCCTCAGTGCCCTCTGTTTCCCATTGCCCTCCGTGCCCATTGTATGCAAAATAGTTGGCTACCTCTTGGTCTCGCAAACTTGTTCCTAGGCAAGCAAAGCCTATTCATGGTTAACATCTTGTGGATCATTAACA